GCAGTGTGTATTACAAAGGAAGGTGAAGCAAAAGTAGTTGGACAAATAGGTCATACGTGGGAACTGACTTTCATTATCAATGGCAGGGTTACAATGAGGACAGGACTGTGCCCCTTGATCTAGAAGGCTTCACTTCCATTTTAGCCACTTGCTGTCATATGGACAGTGTGAGTTTTCAGTGTAAACCAGAACACTGAGTGTGTGTGTGTGTGTGTGTGTGTGAGAGAGAGAGAGAGAGAGAGAGAGAGAGAGAGAGAGAGAGAGAGAGGAGAGAGAGGAGGGGAGGGGAGAGAGAAAGAGAGAGAGGTACCTTTAAGCCATGAATAGTCTATGGAATCACATACACGTTATAGTAGTTTGTATGAGAACATAATTAATTGAAGCAACTTAAATAGTAATATTTTTTATTAACCTCAATACCCACACCAGATCAACAGATGCAAGGAACAGAAAACTTGCTAAGGCTTTGCATATGCCCAGTGGTGCCATGTTAGTGTGTTTGTGTGAGGTTTGCCTTCATTCAAAGATTGTAGTATATTGATTGTTCTCTGACATACAATCTTCTCTCTCTCATCTGTAGCCCAACTTTCTCCATGCTATTCGATCAATTAGAACAAAAGATATGCTGAGTGTTGAAGATAGTGCCACACACTGGGGTACTTATTAAAGTTTAATAAAGGAGAGTCAATCTGTGGAGGGATTTGCCATGTGAGGAGAGAGCGGTAACCCATATTTGAAGTATATATGCACTGTGCTGGCTCTGAGAGGTGTGTACTCACCTATCCTATAGACCACCACTACTGTGGAAGTTGCTCAGACAGAGGGTAGCCAACTTTACAAAGGTTCAATGAGTCAGTATTTTCAACTTTCCTAGCTAAGATGTAGCTGTCTGGATAGCAAGGAAGAAATAAGAGCTCACAAGATGTTCATCAGTGAACAGCAAAATAATAGAGTCCTTTTTTTATTTAAGTTTGCTAATGAAAATAATTCTCTAGGGGATAGGGAACATTTTTTTCTGGGAAGTACCCTTCCATAGGAGCTACTAACTAACATCAAAAGAACCATGGTTGATTCAAGGTTGGGGCAGAAATAGGAAAGACTGACCTTGAGCATTTTCTTATTCCAGAAAACAAAAAATGGTGTGCATACAAACACACACACTATGATGGGAGCATGCCAAAACAATAATAAAGTTGCAAATGTCAATAAGATAGTGTTGAGTTATACTCCAAAATGTCAATAACTGTAAATCCATACTGGTATAATAAATCACCAGATAAGAGAGAGAATAGATGAATCTCCCAAGCAGAATTTCAAATAATTTATGGAGATACTGACTTTAATGAGGTAGACATAATTCCTAAATGGACATTACCTAAATGGAGGCGGCACAGACAAAGAATGCAATAGAGAAGAGGGTGAAGTAGAGTACTTTTGTGGTGTAGATGTTTGGTAAGCACTGCTTCAGCAGGTAATGTAGGCAAGCCATGTTGACAGTGGGTGCCCTTGATAGGATACCATGAAACCTACATTTGATCTCTGTGTCCTCCTCCCCAAAACCATAGACCCTGGTTAGTTGTGAGCCAAATATCCACAAGTGTAACAGAAGAACAATACATATAATACTTGGCCAGTACTACTCAGAACTGTTAAGGACATCAAAAACAAGGAAGATCTGAGAAATCACCTCAGTTGAGACTTGCCTAGGAAGAGTGAGTATAGGATCCAGAGTTTACCAACACCTGGTCTAAATGAACCACTTTTACTCTTCTTCTTCACTTTTGGGAAGGAGCAGTTGAGTAACAGTGGAGTCATACTAGGAATGATGAATCCTACTGTGATGAACACAAAGGTCCAGGTCCTTTCTGTTTAGCAGAAGAGAGTTTCAGTTCCCCTTACTTGGAAACATTCAAGGATTCTTTAGTAGCCCTATCACCCCTTGTGGTGGTGGTGGTGGTGAAATGCTTTTAGGAAGTCTCCGGAGATTTCCTTAAAGGTCCCACTGACCAACACCAAAGCCATGTGTTCAGCTCGAAAAGCAAAGGGCACTGAGAAAGATGGCACTTGGCATTGTGAGTTCTCTGATGCATTAGGAAGGGGGGGTGTCAAGAAATGGCTGGGGTGGAGGCAGCCTACAATACAGAGTGGTTATGAATAGCTACTTAAAACTTTCCAATTAGTTAGCATACATTTTTCTGTGCTGCAGTCCTTCACATCTGTCCCTGTTAATAAACTATAAAATCTATCATGATTAAAAATTCTAATTCACTGCAATTGTGCTTAAAATTATTTTAAAGCTTGCTGTATGTAGAACTTCATTTGAGGAAAGGATCTAACCAGACCCACAGTTCTGGTGGGGAAGATAACCAGACTAAATAAATTATAAATAAATTATGATTTATATACATAGCCTCATGGAATTAAACATAAGCTACTAATGTAAAATGAGTATTTGACAAAGATAAAGGTTGGTAATCTGAGGACAGGAATTCTAAGCTTCCTTGTGCTAAGTGGAGACTGTAGGTGTATCAAGAAACGAGCACCCAATTGCCAAGGATCTTGCAGAGCAACTTACTGGTGTGTGTCACTTCCATTTCACTGCAAGAAAGGCGAACTTAGACAACCCCCTACCCCAGTGGGCTGGAGACACTGTTGCACCATTTGTAGACTAGAGCTAAGACTGTCCACACAGCATTGTGGGAGCATATGAATAGAACAAGGTTGATTTGACTCCATGAAGTCAGAAGCCATCAAAAGCTCCAGCAGCCCCAACCAGTTTGTCTGGCTTATCAAATGCTGACTTCACGAGTGGTACAGAGTGACAGATTCAGTATGGCTCTGGATGACTTGAGACCTTAGAGAATATGCCCCCTACTGTAGCACTGTGAGCATATCAGAACACACTGTGGGCCGTAAGCACATCAAAAAGTGTGTATTAACCTACTTTGTGATAATAGCCACATCTAAAAATAAGAGCAAGAGCAACCATAGTAACAACAGACATGCTGAATGCTTCACATACACTGGAGGTGGAACACAATATACATGCAATCTGCTTGATCATTATCAAAATCTCTTTTCCAAATTGTGGCTTAAGCACCACACAGTTACTTGCCCAAAGCCATTTTCAAGTAAATGATTACAGTTTTAATTTGCTCTACTATAAATACATTGCCACAGATCAGAGTTCATCTTCTCTTCAGTATGTTCTTAGATGGGTAATTATATATGTATTTGCTTACTAAACGAAGATCTGGTATAAAGTAAGCCAGACTTGGAAGCGAGAACTCTTTCCAGTGGCTTTTGCTGTTTCATATCTGCCCAACTAGTGCTCAGTGAAGTGTCCGTCATGGTTGGGGAGATGGGTCAGTGGGCAAAAGCACTTACTGTTTAAGCATGGGAACCTGAGTTTGGATCCCCAGCAACGAGGTAAGAGCAAGGTATGGCCTCATTTTCCTGCAAGGCCAGTGCTGCAAGAGGGGCTAACAGGAGGATCCCTGGGGCTTGCTGACTGGCCAGCCTGTCAAAACATTGGTGAGCTCCAGAACTTGTCTCAAGAGAAAAAGGTGGAGGGTGAAAGAGCAGGACACCCGATACCTTTCTGTGGCCTCCACATGCACAGGCACACACCCTCATACAGCATACATACAGACAGGGAGAGGAAAGAGACAGACAGCCACAGAGGGACAGAGACAGAGAGACATAGATACTTTTAAAAATCAGAGAGGGTGGAAATGACCTGAGAGGACATGCAGCCCTATGGACACTGCCCTGGAGCACCCTGGAGAAATCAAGAGAAATGGAGTTGTATTAAGCCAGCTTTGCCCAGCCCTCTCCTTTCATCCATCCAGGTGTCTTTATATAAAACAACTCTGCAGTATGTTCCCAGAAGTTATGTAATTGAGAGTTAATATTTTATTCTTACTTTATTTCCAAACACTTAGAATGTTAGCACATTGCACTGCATTGTTTAATAATGAGTGTAGGTGTGCTGCTAAGTTATTTGTCAGATCAGGGACAGATGTTCTGAGGGTGGAGAGGGATGGAGAAGCACCTGAAATTACTTTTTCCTTAATGCCCACCCTCACACCTGATTTCCAGATGTCTTTTGACCTTACCAAATGGTTCCATGTCAAGTTAAAGATGCATTTTTCCCCTGAAAATGATAGTGGGGCTTCAATGCAGGGATTGGAGAAGGGTGAAATTGGGTGCAGAGAGACTCTGACCTCCCTTCATGTTTCTAAGGGTGAGAAGCCATTCTCTGGGGCAATTCCATTCCACCTACAAAGGAGAGCAGCAGGGAAGATATTTCTTGAGGTACCTGCCCATTATGAATGGACAGATCCTTGGATCTCAGGCCCCTCAACATTGACACAACCTGCATTTCATGTAGATTCATTCAATGTAGATTCATGGCTTTAGACAAGAATTTCTCTGATTCTTGTCCCACTCTTCATGTTGACAAACAGCACCCACCACCAGGAAGTAATAAAGATTCACAGAGTGCAGAGAACGGCCCTAGCAGCCATAGAGATGCTGTGTTAGTCATAAAACAAAATATCTGAGTGAGCTAGTTTTAGAAAGAAAGACAGGCCTATTTAGCTTAGTTTGAGAGACTCAAATTCTAAGATCAGGTAGCCTTCTGTGAAGGAATCATGGTGGATAGTGTCTTAATACTGGGAGTCTTGGTGTCATAAAGGAAGCCAGAAAGACACTCAGGATTTGAACTGTCTTATAACGGGTTTTCATGAGAACTACCTTAGTCCTTTTCAAAGGCAGCTCCCAAACTTAAAGACTTCAACCCAGGCCTCCACCCTCTTAACGGTCCCATGTCAATTCTTGGAGATCATATCTTTAACACGCAAACTTCTTAGAGATACATTCAAACCATATCCAAGCTGTCCCTCGGGCTTCTTAAATGTCAAACAGTTGGATGGGTTGACAGCCAATATCATATCTGAAACATTTTAGGTTAATTTTTAAAGAATGAGACAAGTAGGTCCTCGCCCTGCTAACGTTTATTCAATATTCTTTGAAATTAGCAAGAATCATAAGAAGCACATATCAATCAAATACAGCCACAAAAATGTCTTGGGTATAAATAAAGGTGCACTATGAGAAACACTACAGAAGGGCCCAGCACCTCTTACACGTCACTACCTCTTAGCAAGAAACACCTGCAATATAATTTAATCCACTACAATTAAAAAGAAAAACACTTGATTTTTAAAAGAAAAAAATTGGTTGAAACTGATCAGTATTTGCCTCCCTAGGCCCTTCCCTTGTTTGTGTTTACAAGGTCAAGTTCAAGGATTGTTACAAAAATGACTAAAACTTGAAAGAACATTATTTCCTTGGAATTCAACAAAACGGTACAGAAAATAAGTTACTTACCCATGCACAGAATAAGGCAGAGGCTAATTTCATTCGGGTTAGGAATAATAAATTTAACTAGTTTTCTTTTTCACAAAACAGACATCTCAGACGGCACATCATAGTAACGATTATACTGGATTATGCATCATACTCTACTTATTTTCCTAACTCTACTCAGAAAGCCGGCACTCACACATCACAAGAAACTCTTCCTATGTAAGACTTACTCTGTAACAACCACAGAAGTCCATCTGGGTTTCATGGTAGGGTCTACTGTCAAAAGAACCCATACTTGTTGAAGCAGACAGTGTTGAGAGCTGAAGGTACATTAAAACATGGTCTATGGATTTCACAAATTCTGGTTTTTTTAAAATACTTTTTTCAAACTAAAAGCTGCAGAACCTTAGTTCTTCGGTAGTCTACTGAAAACTCATGAGCAGCTAACATTTTAAATTTCTTAAGCTTTTTAATTTTCTTAAAAATATTTAAATGATCTTAGTATCTCATCTTTTTTGAAAAATAATCCCAAAAAAAGAAGATTACAAATCTTTTGTTTTAATCAGTGTGACCAAGGGCTTGTCATCGGGGCTGTAATCCTCGTAGGCAATAGGAGTCACGTCGTACATCGCAGGCCGAGATTTCTTCCCAAACCTGAAATCACAGAGAGGATTCTGGTTACATGGGTATTGGACTCCAAGTTCTATTAAAGGTGAATGTTAAGAATAATTTCCATCAAGTACCTGCTGCATACACATGAGGACCTAAGCTTGGTCTTCCTGTGCCCATGTAAAACCTGGGACAGTGGTGCTGGTGTAACCCAGTACTGGAGGCAAGGAGGGAAAAAGATGAATCCCAGGTCTTACTGACCACCCAGCCTAGCCAGTTGGTGAGCTGAGGTGAGCTCTAGGTTCAGTGAAAGACCCTGTCTCAAAAATTAATAGGCAGAACAGCCAAGAAAGTAGCTGCACGTGGACTTCTGGCCTACACATAACACACACCACTCACACATATACACACATACCTACATACAACATACACATGCATAAACTACATGCAACACACACACACACACACATATACTCACATGCCTATGTGTAGCACATATACACTCATACAAGCATATATGTATAGGCACATACCTACATATATATGTATATATTACACACAAAAAATAACATTCAAGAATCTAATGGAACTATAAAAACACTCTAAAGTATATTCTTTAGCATGTATAAAAACTTAAGGCATCCTGATATTAACACTGACTGGAAATAAACATTAGTCTTTAGTTCAGGAGACAAAAAAGGATTAATGTTAAAGCATCCAAGTTAAATCAGGCAGGACAGTGCCACACCAGATTTAAGAAAACATGTATCAATTTCTCTTTTTCTTTAAGACCCATAAATATCTGGAAAGACAGTTTTGTTTTATATCCACTCTCATGACTAGCATACACAATGGCAATGGTCTCTGAGTAGCACTCAGACAGCCTCTCTCCTGGGGTCTTGGAGGGAGTAAACTGTAAAGGCTCTGAGGTCATCTGAAATTCCAACCCCAAAAACACAGCAGAAAGTAATCACCTAAAACACTGAGGTGTTTGTCCACAAATGCTGCCGGGGCTTGCCATCAAATCCTGCTCTTCAGTTCTCTCAGCCCCCAGGAGCATTCTTTTTCTCTGAGTACCAAGCTATTGTCCCAACAGATTTATGCATATCAACGTCTCCTCAGGAGCAGGACTGATGCCCAGAAGCCAGAGGAGTCAAAACTCCAAGAGCAAGACTTTCTGCCAAACCAGTCTTCAGAGAGTTATTAAATTATTAAAACCTGGCCAGTTCAACTTCTAGGTGGTCTCTTCCCACTCGAGAGCTCACTTTCCCCAACGCCTCCGGAGTGAAACAGTATAAAGTCTTCCATGGGAACCTACCATTGTTTCTTCTCCTATACGGCTTTAAAAAATAAATTATTTTACTTCCAACAGGGCTCATTAAAAAGAGATTTCAAAAACAACCACCTAAATTTTGAAAAAGCTAAGATGGGTCCTGAAAGAGTCAGAGGGGCTCCCTCCCTCCACCCTCTTCTCTATTTCTTTGCTACCTTTTGAATGTTGGCTTTCTCACATACAAAGGTAAAAAGTAGGAGCAAGTGGGGAATGAGAAAGAGAGCACTCTTCAAGTAAGATTTGGGGGTTGGAAGATGGATGGGTTCGAGACAAGATCTTGCTCTGTAGCCTAGGCTGGTCTGAGATTTACTATACAATTCTGGCTGGCCTCAAACTCATAGTGAGCTGTTGTTTGTTTCTGTTATTTTTGGGGGGGCCTGCCACCCAGCTCCCAAATAAATCACACACAGAAGCTTATTCTTAATTATGAATGCCTACCCTTAGCTTGGCTTATTTCTTTTCAGCTTTCCTTAACTTATCGCATCTACCTTTTGCCTCTGGGCTTTTCTCATTCTCTTACTTCTGTAAATCTTACTCTTACTCTATGGCTTGCTGTGTAGCTGGGTGGCTGGCCCCTGGAGTCCTCCTCCTTCTCTGTCTACTTCTTTTTCTCCTCCCAAATTTCTCCTTCTATATATTCTCTCTGCCTGCCAACCCTGACTATCCTTTCTCTTGCCTCACTATTGGCCACTCAGTTCTTTATTAGACCATCAGGTGTTTTAGACAGGCACAGTAACACAGCTTCACAGAGTTAAACAAATGCAACATAAACAAAAATAACACACCTTAAAATCATATTCTACAACCATAATCCTCCTGCTTCAGCCCTCAAGTCCTGGGATTCCAGGTGTAGTTGCCACCATGCCTGAAATGATCTTTGATTTTTAAACTTTCATCAGTTGCTTTCCAATGAACTCAAGACTGGCCTTCAGGAGCACAGAGGGGGCACCACGCAAAACTCAGGGCCAGAGTTAATGCATTCTGCCAACACCGACCCACAGTGACCATTACAATATTAAAAAGGCCCTAAGTAGAACTGTTTCTGGATTGCAAGGCCTTACTGAACACCCACAAACTATGCCAACACTGATGTGGGTTCGGACCTCAGCGTATAGCCTTTAATCTACCTGGATAAGGCCCATGCAATCCTAGGATAGGAAAAGTGGCCACACTGTAACAATTGCTAAATTCTATACTTTTTCCCAAGTGAAAGCAGAGGAGGCTACTCGGTGGTAGAAAATTTTGACAAATTATTTTTCATAAACTAGCTAGATGCATTTGTAATAACAGTGATGATTTAGAAGAAAAGCTAACAACTCAGAGCTTCCCCTGCCTAGCCCCAGTGGCCCTGAGATGCTTTCCTATAGGAACACTGTGAGAATAAATCATATTCATTAGCTGATTAATCAATTGTTTGGCAATGGAAACAACTGAACAGATTCAATGCACCTCTTAAAGCCACTTGTTACGTGGTTTCCATTTGAAAAAGAATTTGTCTTCTTAAAATCTGGAAAACTAAATGTCTCCATTTTGTGCCATGTGTTAACAAGCAGTAATTCAAATGACTGAGAACTTCAGGTTCACCATGGAGCTGAAGACAAATAAGAAAAGTTTGGGAAAGAGTGTTGTAGGTGCCCTGATCATGACAGCCAAAGGCTAGGCCCACTCTCTTGCACACACGCAAAGAGGACGACTGAACAGGGCATCCTGCCTTGTGTCCAGACTTACTTGGTTATGTGGCACAATGCCAATGAAGTCATCTGCCTGGGTCAGAAAGTGTCACGCTGGTGACAAAAGTTGGTGGAGGTCAGACTAACACTCCTAAGACAAGAAGAGTGGACCATTGGGAGCTGCTATCCCTGTACTTCAATTCCCTAATTAGTGCAAACTCTGTTTCCTTGAATGAGCTACAAAGTTAAAATTGAAGTGCAGGGTCTACCATATGGAAGCTAAAACAGTATCTGTTACAGACACTAAGGTTTGTAAGCACCCATAAGCTGAGGCAAGACTTTCCTTGACTCTCCTACACCTCTCAAGGTGGTGAATGAATGTCTATTAATAGTCGTGCTGAAATGCTAGCTGCCTTTCATATCTCCTTTGCTCCCCAGTACTGGTCTTGTGTTCTCTAAATCCTGGCCACTCCAGAGGTTCTCAAGAGAGGTGCCCCACCTTTTCACTTCTCTGTCCTGCATTTTCACCTACAGAGTTCACACTCAATAACCACACAATTTACCAAAACAAACCAACAATATATATAGTGTTTTAAGTAAGTTTTCAATTTTGTATTAGACTACATTTATAGCTCTCCTGAGCCTTATACAGCCAATGGGCTATGGGTGGCCCACCCTAGTTGGTCTCAGTACAAATACTATCAATGTCACATCAGTATCTTAAACATACTTGGTAATAAGTCCTGTGCATCTAACTCATTCTCTGAAGGAACAAAAGATACTACTGCCAGTCATAAATAAGGCAGAAAAAAAACCACATTCTCCTAGCTCAATGTCCCCTAAAAGCAGTCAAAACAACACCATAAAGAATGTCAGGTGGATCTGATCATAAGCAAGGCCTGAATCTGAAAGTTTGTTCTTTGAGGACAAGAGAATGTCTTTGTGTTCTCCTTTTCCTGCTTTCTGTGGGTAAACACTTCTAGGTGGTAGACCCAGGCACCAAGAAGTAACATCACTGTCCAGATGTGGTGAGCCATGTGTCTGCCCCTGCTGATAGTGACAATCGCTCTGCTACCTGACATAGGCAAAGCAGCTGTGGGACAGGTGGCTTCTGGGACAAAGGAGAGGAAACGCCTTCTCAATCCAGCTGATAGCTGACATCAGAGACACCAGATGTTTTCTTGGTCCCTCATGAACATCTCAGGTGACCCATTTGGAATGTAACTTGTGTGGCCACTGGGCTGTGGTCATTCCAACTCAGTATCACTTCCAGGCTAGCATCCAGGAAACAGCCTGTGAAATGGGCATTTGCTACAGTCCATGTTTGAAAACTAGAAAAAGGGAACATCAAAAGGACTAAGTTTGGCCAAGCTCTTCCTAGAGTTTCCAGGAACAGAGAACAAAGAAGGCCAATTTGCCAGAGGTCTGGCTACAGCCTCTTTGGGACAGGCTGCATGCAGATCAGGTTGTAAGCTGCAGAGCCCTTCAGGCAAGAACTTACCCTGAATTCTAGATTCCTGGAAAGGTGTGGCCTTCCTGTGGACTGTTTCCTCTGTACTTACTAAAGGACACTGGAGGTCGATGCCTAGCATTATGCACTGCGTATTTTGATATAGATGGGCAACAAATAGGAATCAGGTTTGTGAATGCTATCATGTCCCTTCTTGCCTGCCTGAGTATTCAGTTATCTTCCCAGAGAGCTGTATAAGCATTATGCTCCACAGCATCCCTCTCAAATGATCTGGGCCTGAAATGCCACATTTGTCCAGTTAGGGGGATTACAAAGGAACTTGGCCACAGATCCTCCGGGAGAGAGAGACTCTTATTTCTGGGTCTCCCAAACATCCAAGTATAAAGCTATATACCCTTGCTTCCCCCTATGAGCTAAGCTCTTCTGGGAGCACAAGAGAGGAGAGTTCAGCAACAAAGAAACTTGTTAGTTCTCCACTCTTTTTTGAATCTTCTGCCTCCAGCCCAGTGATTTAAGATACTGGAACTAGTCCTGTTGCCTGGGACCATGTACTGAGCTAGTACTGGGGATTCAGAAAGACAAAACATACTGTGCCAACACAAACTGAGGTCATCCTTTCCGTCAGACTTCAGATTTTAGTGACATTTGCTATATGCCAGGACCTGTTAGAGAGACAGAACTGAAAGGAGAGACTCAAATAAACAGTGGGGCTTGTGTGGATTGGTCCTGGGCTTCCTGGAAATTGAGTTGCCTGAGCTGACCCTGAGAGGAAGCATCTAGGTGAGCAGCTATGGGGTGGGTCCTGAGTCTACTGGTTCCTCTCCCTCACAGCCACAAGTACTCCAGGGTGCAGCTCCTGGTGAGGCATTGGGGCAGATGCTCCAAGTCATCCAAATTCACATCTCTGGATCCTCTCTCTGGAACCAGGCTCTATTCCTGTTTCTGTTGCAACAGTCACTGTAAGGTGTGAAACTTGGATTTGGGGACTTCCTTTGGGGGAGGAACTCCGAAGCTCTTGTCTTCTGCTGCCACTCTACAGATTTGGGGACTGCTGTGTCTTTACTGATACATCACCCTAATAAAAATAATACTGCCAACAGTTTCCACAGGTCCTGCTCTCAATACCAATTCCAGGGAGCTGGAGAAATGTCTCCGTGGTTAAGAGCCTTTGCTGCTCTCGCAGAGAACTGGAGTTTGGTCTCAGGCAGCTCCAAACGACCTGTAACTCCAGCTCCAGGAGATACAACACCCTCTTGTTATATCTTGTGGTTTTATGTACATCTTCACACAGGCACATGTACACACACACACACACACACACACACACGAATAAAACCTAAAATGTATGTTTATTTTTAAAAACTAAACTCAGTACACTGACTTTCTGAATTGTATGTTTCACATTATTCCATCAACTCATAGGAAATAATATTGCTACTAATTTTGGAATGGCATCCCTTACAAAAGTCAGTGAGCTATTAGCTGAACTTCTTGACCAACATCATAGATAGATCTGGGAGAAGTAAATATGTAATTATCTACCTATAGAATAATATCTGTAATTTAACAATTATCTACTTATAGAATAATATCTGCAATTTAACAATTGCCATGTTCTTTAAGGAGGGGGAGTGGAGGGAACTATGCTTGTGGAAGGTTGAGTGACCTGGATGGAATATAGTCAGGGAATGTAGTAATGAGACTTCCAATCACACTATGCTTCTGCTCTCCCTCTCACACACCAATTCCTGAATTTCCTCCAGGAAAGGACACTGATTCCAAAACACAAACTCTAAGCATCAGATGACAGTGATTCATCATGACTTTTGTAGACACTGGAATCCAAGAGGATAATCTATATTCATATTGACTGCTTTAAAAGCAAGAAAGAAATTATCAGGCTGAGGGGATGTCTCAGTAAAACACTTGCCTTGCCACACACGGGACTTAATTTCAATCCCAGAACGCACCTAAAAATGCTAGGCCTGGTGGCATGGGCCTATAATCCCAGCACTGGGGAGGTAGAGATAGAAAGATTCCTAGGGCATACTGGCTGGCCAATCCAGCCTAACTGGTGAGCTCCAGGTCTCTAATTTGAGAAACCCTGTCTGTCTCAATGGGACTAGACAGCACCTCAGGATGACACAGGTTGCTCTCAGGCCTTCACACACACACACAAAATGGCATGCACACACATCCATGCATACACATGTACACAGATACATATTTTTAAAAAATGTCCAATGCAGTGAAGAAAAATCATATGTGTACAGTTGCAGATCAATACAAATTAGATGAATGAGGCCGGGCGGTGGTGGCGCACGCCTTTAATCCCAGCACTCGGGAGGCAGAGGCAGGCGGATCTTTGTGAGTTCGAGGCCAGCCTGGGCTACCAAG